GGGGGGGGGGGGGGGGGGCAGATTCACGCTGGCCCCCAACACAAAAAATGGCTACTATTTTTTTTTTACGAATTGATTCTCAACTGCTTGCTAAATTTTACGCTCTATTTACTTTCGTTTGCGCCATATCTGACTGGGAACTTGACAATTTTTTCTTTTTAATTCACGAATAGATTGTTAATCCTTTGTTAAAGCTTACACTATATTTAATCGTCTTTGTAGCCTGACTATCTTTAAACAACTACATAATAATTGTAGTGACAACCGGAGATGCAAGGTTTGTTTAGTTTTATAAAAAAAAAAAGTATACCTTGCTAAGCTTTTTTATTGGTCCTATCTTAAAATGCATAGTCCTCTAGTATTATCTATATTGAATCTCATAGGATATGCTTCGCTAGCGCGAGCATATACACGTTTTTGCTTCTGTTATAGCAGACTTAAAACTTTTTGATCGTGTATAACCTAGACGTCGTGTTTTTAAATGGAGCCGGACAAAAAATATCATTGTGTGCATCAAGGGTGAAAGGTTATAATTTGACTCGTATGAATGTCGCTCATCCGGCAAACTTCACACTCGTCGAAATAATCTTCTTTACGCTCTTAATGCACGATATACTATTATTTTCTATTTAGGGTGACTCACCTAACTTGACCGCTTAGAATATCATGGTTGCCTTTGATGATATGGAAAAAATTTTTACGGAAAAGTTGTTCGGTACAAAGATCCAAGGATAAGGTCCCGGGAAGGCCAACACATTGCACGTCGTTGAATTTTTTGATGTGTAAATATCTGTATTATCGGTGTACGGTCGGGGCTAAATGGGAAGTCGACCGTTGTAAGTTGTAAGGCGTAAGTCACGTAGATGTGACTGCATCATTGTGTGTGTGCTGCGCTTATGCGCATACTCTCCGCGCAGGCTGGCCATGTGTATGTACATGTGCTAGCCAACGATGTAGTACTCATAATGGAGCTAAGACTAGAATTCGAATCGAATTTGGATATAGCTAAAACAATGGAAATTTGTCGAGAATTGTGTATCGAAAATGATGACGATGATGAAGAAATTTCAAAGGAAATCAGTTTATTAGCAGCACATGTACGAGATGCTGACCCTTTGCTAATTTTCTTGCTAATGCTAATAACGATGCAAACGCCGATTTGAGACTAGCTACGTTAAATCGTCTTGGTCCTATAGCAAAGAAGCGCGAGAATATTATGGACAAAGAAGACTTCAATAAATTAATGCGTACAGCTAATTATGGTCAAAAAAGTCTATTACTTCATGTTATTTCGCATATTTTGAATAATGATGGACCATTGCAAATTTTTCTTACTGACCCTGCCGGTTGCGGGAAAACATTTATGATCAACTTACTAAGAGAAATTTACAATCGATTTTGTCATACCGATGATTATTACAATATATATGTGACATGCGATGTCACATGATATTTAAATGAATACAGTTAAAAATTTATGTCTCATATTTTAGCTATCATAAACCTATAATTTCATGTATTAAAGAAATTGAAGACAAATAAATTCCGAATTAAAATTAAACTCAATTTCTTGTAAAAAAAATAATTTTCAATTATAAATAGTTTCCCGCACTGAACTTCCTACAACATGTTTACACATCATTCGTGAGTACAATGGCACTCAAACTTTTTTTTTTTTGTGAATGAAGTTAGATGAGAAACGCTGTATAACTGAATAAGAATATGAGGTATCGCAGTTTATTCGCCCATATCAATATACCCGTTTCGCCTCGGCTGCCCCCAATGCCTGTTTTTTGTCCTATTTTCCTCCTACTTACTCCGAATTTAACAAGTTTTCTCAAAACGTATTTGGTAATAGCTATAACTCTCAGAGTCGTGGTTGTGACATTTTTAAAATTAAATTAGCACTGAAAAGGTTCGATTGGATTTGTGATTAATTTTGTAGAACAATTTTTTGCAAAACTAATGTGGCTACCGTTACCAATCTTGGAAACGTATATCGCTAGTGGTAGAGGTGACGAAAAGTCTTTGAAGAAAAAACTACATGTTAAGATCGAGTAATTATCGATCTTTATGACCCGAAACAAATAGTTGTTGCGTTTCGGTTCTTCCCAGAATTTTGGTTGCATTATTAATGGTATATTCATAAAAACGTAAAGGAATAATGGAACGACTGTTGCGAGACTTTTGCAAGTATTAACGTAATTGGATGTTTCGTCGTTTCTATCAGCAGTGTCATTTTGCTAAAAATGTACATGGGAACGATTAATTTCAATATTTCCTCGTAAACGTGATATTTAGAAAAATTACAGGCAAGAAAGAAAAGAAGAACCTCTGTGAAGTTGGCCCCTCATTATGAAAATTAATAAAAGAAAGTTAGAGTTCTGCTTCCTCCCGGAAGAGTTCTAGAGTTCCTGATAGTTTTTAGAAATAGTTCTGTCGATTAAATGCGAAAAATTGCGATATTTGAAAATGGGGGGCTAATTTCACGGAGCCCCCCATTTTTTGAAAAAATGTAATTTTTTTCGCAGTTCTGAATAGATTAACAATAGTTCTACAGTTCTCTGCACTTTTCATGAATAGTTCCGGTCATTATCCGCTTCAAAATAAAGTATGAAAAAATACGTCAGCCCCCCATCTTTTAGAAAATCGTATTTTTTTTAGTGTCCCGAATAGTTCTCATAGAGTTCTACAGTTCCCTATAGGTTTTGGGTACAATACATATCCAGATTTCGTCAAAAAATCATGTTGAAAAGAGTATTTCAAAAAATCAATTAATCGTATAAAATCCGATACCCCCAGAATACTGGATGGATTAATCAAGTCCAGGTATTCGTTTTGTAGAACTCTTTGAGAACTATCCAGAACTCCCATCAGAACTCCCGGAACTCTTAATTTTTTTTTCCAAATTAACCCCACTTGCGATGGAGAATCTTCAAAGTGCCAGAACTCTTTCAATTTTAATTTCTCAGCTTTTTGCCATAGGAATTATCGATAGAACTCTTTGAGAACTATTCGGAACACTAAAAAAATACGTTTTTCTAAAAGATGGGGGGCTGACGTATTTTTCAAACTTTATTTTGAAGCGGATAACGACCGGAACTATTGATGAAAGGTGCAGAGAACTGTAGAACTATTGTTAATCTATTCAGAACTGCGAAAAAAATTACATTTTTTCAAAAATGGGGGGCGCCGTGAAGTTGGCCCCCCATTTTCAAATATCGCAATTTTTCGCATTTAATCGACAGAACTATTTCTAAAAACTATCAGGAACTCTAGAACTCTTCCGGGGGGAAGCAGAACTCTAACTTTCTTTTATTAATTTTCATAATGAGGGGCCAACCTCACACAGGTAAAAGAAGATGCCTAAGGCCTTAAATCGATTGTATCTCGATTATGACTGTATAGTGACTTCAATTAAAAATAAAATTAAGTATCTCTGTGAACTAATGTGTCACGGTAGTGTTAAAAGTCTGTTAAATTTCGGAACGCCTGGCTAAATGTGTAAAAGTGACGTCAAGCAATGGATTTTTTAAAATAATTTCGAGGAAACAAGTACCAGCGGGTGGCAGAAATGACTCTTCGAAAGACTATTGTAAATAATTACTATTTTACACTTCGGTCGGCACTGTATTACGTAACTCTAATGGATTAGTAAGGGCCTCTCTGTGAACTAAGGTATGACGGTAGTGTAAAATTCTGCGTTTCGGAACGCCTGGCCAAATATGTAAGAGTGACGTCAAGCAATGAGTCGTGTCGAGGTGGTAAAAGTCCTCAGTGGGCCATAGCGTATGACTTTTTCAATTTTATTGTTAAGAATTTGTTTTCACGTGTTACTTTTGTCTATGATATGACTACCCTTAACAATTTGTTTTCCTTTATCTCATTCACTTCATAAACTGATTTCGTCTCGATGCGTTTTACATAGTATCTAATTTAAACGTGGTTGGCGAATGGCGGTTAAATTGAAGAAAATGTATATGTATATATATTCAACCAGTGAGACTGGCGATTTACTTTTATTGATGAAAACTCGCATGGTGGAAATATGGTTAATCAATGAAGATGCTCTCGGTGGTAACCATCGACATATAGTTTATGGACTACGCGATCCGTTCCTTAGATCCTTTGAAGAAAAGTGTCGACTTTAATAAACAAAGAGGGAATAAGGTGGCGGCTAATTGCTCTCCTTTTCTCATGCTCCCATTCGCTACGTTTTCTATACTCTCGTATTACGGTTGCTAATTAGAAAAAGACAGGACTTGGCCACCACCAGTCGCTATCTTTTTCTTTTAGCCGACCATTTTTCCTATGTCTACTATGCATAGTCTATACTATACGTCGATGGTGATAACACACAATACGAGATAAAATTTTTATTTTTTTTTTATTTACTAGATAATAACTAAATCTTCGTCTGTGTAAAATTTGAACATGATTAACCGTATAGTTTGTAATATATACAAAATATAAAAGTGGGTAAATTTCCACTATATAGATATACATGACCTGTAGAAAATGAATATCTTCAAATTTCAATATCTTCATTTTCGTACGGTAGAATGTAATGATTTTTGGCTCGAATGTTGAGGTTATCTTATATTTATACTAATTTATTTTTTAACAAAAAATTCATTACTATTATGATTATTATCGCTGGATCACCGTAACAGGAAATCACATCTCTCAGACGTTCACCTTTCGACGGCCCACTATTGTTCTCCTCGTTTGGTTCGGGTTCGCACGGCCGTCGATTAAATTCCCCGAGCCGGGAGGTTAATTTCGTATGAACCCACGTATTAATTTCGTATGTATATGTTTGTAGAAAATAGATGGATGAGAACACATTATCGTAAGAATTTTGTTGGATTACACAATGGATACGGAGATAGAGATTTTTAGTGAGACAGTTTGGATCCGTTGCGGCCACCGATTCAACTACAGGTAAAGTAGTTAACCACTGTTGAATTTCTTCTAATGTCATTATTGTTTGGCGAATCCTTTTTTGTCATTGCTCGCCTTATATACAACAACTTGGAGACGTTGCGCGCAATCAATGTCCATCTTGGGTTTGTCATTCTGTCAGGGTAAATGTTTCGGGTGAATATTTTGTGATTTTATAAGCAGAATAACATGGATAGTAGAAAATTTGCGAAATTTCATTTTCGAAGATTTGTAAGAAATTTGTTTATTTTGCATCTGTATGCTAACCTTGCAGCGAAGATTAAAACAAAAAAGAGCGAATTAATCTTATTAAATAGTCTCTCGATTAATTGTTCTCAAAATGTTGGCAGATAAAGGACGCAAATATATTGGTTTCGTTATCAAGCGTTATATACACGGTACCCCCCGCCCCCCCACTAACAGTTCAAACACTTGCTGCGAAATGAAATGATGCATGAAATAATTTTTTTTTTCATTACTATACAATATTAATTTTAAGTACGTACGCGGTTACGTGAAAGCTGAAGCTGAATTTGCAATTTTCAAAATTAATTCTTTGGCCAAATTATTCACAAAGTGCCACAACCCTATATGCTGCTTTATTTTCAATAAAATTTTAATTTATTAATAGTATACATAATTGTCATTTTTTTAACTTCAATACTGCGAAAAAACGACGTTATACATAGTTACCCCTAACATATATTAATAATAGCTCTTAATTTGTTAGCCATATTCTTAATTCATTCACGTTTAATATATGCAGGCTTTCCTTTTTTTCCTATCGCGGAATTCTTGTGAGGCAAGGGGGGTCGTCAGGATATGAGTTGGGCCTCTTATATCATCAATACGCAGGATAGGGTTCACGTTTTCATTATCTTCCGTGCTCGCGCTTCTATCGGGGACTCTCATGCCTCGATTTCGTGTTCGTCACACACGCTTGCCCGTGTAATCCGTGTGTGAGTCTCGCGTTGACTCGTGCGATTTTTCTCTCTCACGCTCCAACTCGCCCACACTCGCTATCGAGCTCGCACTCGACTTGGACTCTTCTCATATATACATATCTCTACGCTCTCTTGTTCACACGCAGATTTCGTCGTCAGGACCGGCTACAGGCGCTCATTCGCCCCTCTCACTCGCTTATACTTTCTCGCATATATATTCACATTTCTGTATACCCATATAATAATGGTTTTTAAAAAATTATCGTTCAGTTATCGTTACCCTTATATCAGTTGATACGTGTATCTTATAATTCAAACGTACATTACGCCTTCTTTGAGTTTCTTTAACTTTGAACAGAGCTCTAAATGTAGACGTGAAATATGACACGACAGTAAATCATGTAAATGAATATAGAATTAGATGAATCCTGGACACCCATCAGTGATTTATGGAAAACAGCAAAAGATTATTTTTATTTCTATCGTGTCCCCTGTTGATAACTGATGAATAGTTTTTCTTTAGGTGTTGACCTTACGCAGCCAATTTGTAGGTGTTTAGGTAATAACTTCTTATTTCTACATCTAAGAAGGAATATGCGTTGATGTTGTAAGATGGTGATTTTTCTAGAATGTAGTTTCTAGGTCTTCATTAACTCCATTGTCCTCCTTCCAAATTGTTGAGAGATGTGACGTAAGAAGAATCCATAATTTTTTTGGTCAGTATTCATTATTAAATAAGTAAAATTGTCGGCTGGTACTTTATAATAGTTTTTCAATAGTCAACACCTAAGGAAAAACTATTATAAAGTACCAGCCGACAATTTTACTTATTTAATGATAACTGATGAATACGAAGTGACGGGGAACAGCGATATGCAGCGCGTATCTTAAATTCACTGAACTTGCAACGCCATCTGCATTGCTGAAAACTACGTAAATGGGTATATTCGCATGCGAATATCGCATCTCATTGATTTCATATTGTTATAGTGAAGTATAGTAATGTGACAGCATCAAGTCATACACAAAAAATGGGAGGGAATGATCACGTTAAAAATAAAAAATAAAAGAATTATCGCCCAAAATCGAAATGGCTGATAATGACCGTAATTTTCATTATCATTCGTTAATGATACCAGTTATTGTTAGTAAATTATATGAAAGAGCCCATGTAATCCATACAAAAGTATATGCATCGGTAAAATGATCTTTTTGCACTAGCAACAAACAAAGAACACTATCGCCCCTTTATCATACTAAAATAAACAAACAGTAAATACTCAAATCACAAAGCAAACTTTTGCATGGAACGGTCGCCGCGCTACGTCATGCGCGGCGACTGTTCATTTAGCTTGAGGGCGAATTCGTCGAATTCCCATTGTTGGAAACTCGCCCACTCCTCGGCAAGGCGATGTCCGGCCCACGTGTGTGCCTTCACTGCTACGTCAACCCAGTCGAATCCAAATTCCGTCTGATTCATACCGAGTTTTCTCACCCACGCCCCCCCCCC